CACGGCTCCCGGTCGGGGTCGTTCGCCTGATTTCGGCCACCCGGGGTCCGAAGGGCAGCGGTGGCTGAAGGGTTTGGGCTGGTTTCTGCAGCTTCTCGCGCTTGGGTCCCTTTTGGTTGGAGGTTTTGTGGTGCTGGGTGGGGGCTCTCTGAGGAGAGGGGTTAAAAGGAGGAAGAAAATGAGCGGCGGGGTAGGAGAGCCGGGCTTTTCTGTTCCCACTGGGGGTGTTCAGCAGAATTACAGCCCCCAGCGACGCGCGGTGGTCTCGCTCTGGAAATCAAGACGATAAATACCCAGTAGGGTTTGGCAGTTGTGAGCCCTTGTCGCTGTCTGATTGATTTTGGGGGGGGTGTTTTTTGGCCCTTTCCAAGGTTATCATTTCCCAGAGTGGGCTTACAAGACCGAGTCCAGCCCCGGCTCCCGGCAGATCCAGTTATGGCATTTCATCCTGGAGCTGCTGCAGAAGGAGGAGTTCCGCCATGTCATCGCTTGGCAGCAGGGCGAGTACGGGGAGTTCGTCATCAAGGACCCTGACGAGGTGGCCCGGCTGTGGGGCCGCAGGAAATGCAAACCCCAGATGAACTACGACAAGCTGAGCCGGGCGCTCAGGTGAGCAGACCCCGCCGGGGAGGTGAGGGGCTGGGAGCCAGCCCTGCCTCGCCTGCGCGGCTGGTGGTAGAAATCCAGTCCCTGGGTCGGTGACAGCGTCACTTCTGGGAGGTTTGTGTCCCGTTCCTGAGTCCTGGGGCGGGGCTGACCGGACTTGGGTGCGATCAGAGCGACGGGGGAGGGCGGCCCCGGTTCACCGTGCCGCGCTCTGCGTCACGGGGTGGATCCGTGCCTCTGGTTCAGGCGGTTCTTACCAGGACGGTTCCTTCCAGGGACCTTTCCTGTCTCTTTCTCAGCTTCCATTGCCGCTGCTGGCTTGAGCAACAGAGGCGCGGGAGGAGCCCCGGGGTGTTGCTCGATGATCGCCCCACCGAGGGTGCTGCTTCGCAGAAAGCGACTCCCCTTGCTGACGTCGCTCGTGCGAGACGGGCCGAGCGCCCCTCGCGGGGAGCCTCGCAGCTCCAAAGCCTCCGCCCCAACTTTCCCTCCTTTCTTTGAGACCCCCCCCCAAGAGGTTGTGGGGTGTTGTCAGGGGTTGCTGTGTGTTTTGAAGTCAGGCAGTTGAAAACCAGCGCGACCCTCTCGAGTGTTTTGGCGTTTCGAGCCCGTCGCCCGCAGGAGCGGCCGAGCTCCTGGCAGCTCCTGCCATTATCACTCTGCGACGTGGACTTCGCTGCCTCACGCCCTCTGTTACCTCCTGGGTGGAGCTGGCAAAGACAAACAAGGCAGCAAACACGAGAGTCTCGGGCTGGAGCAGGAAGGAAACAATAAATCGGGCGGCAGCAGGGCTGGCG